TGCCCATAGGAAAACCACAAGAAGGCCATGAGAACAACAGGTCTGTCCCACTCAAGTCCCCAGGAACTGATATTCAAAAAAATATTGCCCCAGTGTTATCCCAATCATCCATGAATAGAACCATCCTTACTTCCTTACATTAGCACTAGGATGTAAAGATACAATTCTTCACGACCTTTGTTTTCTAAGGAAGCAACAAAGAATTTTAGCAATTTTCTTTTCACTGTAAGAAAGTCTGAGAACTGCACAGATTTCAAAGTCTATTCACAATCTGGGACTTGTGTGCAGAAGTCACACTATATTTTTGCACAGCAATTTTTTTACAGGAAATATTACTTTCTGTGTACAGAAAATATGTTTTGTTTTAAGTGCAAATTTTGTGCAGGATAAGTCCTGAACTTTGAAGGTCCTCATCAGTCAGGATTCTCCTCATCAGGGTTCCCAACAATCAAGAAACACTTTGGGGGGGGGGTATATTTTCAAATGTTCTTTTCAGCTCTACTAGGATCTTCAACCATTTCAAGTATTAATGGCAATCTCATTTCTTTAGAAATAATAAGCTTCTCTTCCATCTTTTCGGTAAACTGCGCCAAATCTTCCAAGAGATTGTAGCAATGTTATGGCCTGATCTCATTGTCTACAATCCCATTCCAGTTTGATGCTAAAATTCTGGTGTCACTTCAGGAATTAGGGAGTGGGCTATAGAAAGCTCATGCATTTACTATGTTTTAAGGTGTTACAGGCCTCTTTGTTGCTTCTGCTGCAAGAGACTTAGGTTGTGACTGCACTGCAGAAATAATGCAGTTTGGTAACAGTTCAGCTACCATGGCTCAATGCTATGGAATTCTGGGTTCTGTAGTTTTGTGAGATATTTAGCTTTCTCTGTCAGAGAGATGTGGCGCCACAACAAACCACAAATCCCAGAATTACACAGTATTGAGCCAAGGCAGTTTAAGTGATATCAAACTGGATTATTTCTGCAGATGCAGCCTAACATATCTATTTCTTTGGAAACTGTTACATGGACAAGAAGAGATCTAATTTGAATGCATCATATATTAGCTAATACAGTACCTTGTCTTGGATCCACAGATTCCCAGTCATGGATAGAAGACATCTCTGTGCATATCCTGCTTGCAGTTCTTTGTGCCTTCAAAAAACTAACCCATATAGAACAGTGTATGAGTCAGGTTTAAAGACTGCTGCAGCTAGAAGAGGATAAATTGGCAACACTATGCACAGAGATCTTTGGATTCTTATCTTAAAGGTGGCAAGCAGTTTAAGTAGCCTGAAACATAATCATCTTTCTGATAGGCCTAATTTGGCTAACATTTTGTGCTAATATGATACATCTGAATGATCACAAGCCCAATGAGACATGTTTATGCCATTAATTCCAAATCAACTCACTCACTTGAAAAAAAATCCCTGAGTTTATCTGGGAATTAAGCCATTTCGATTCTGCTCAAAGCCACAGTCAAGTCAGCAGTGTTTTCCACTGTAAGTATAGTGTGTCTTTTTAAAAAGAAAAGAAAAGACAAGAAAAGAAAAGAAAAACAAAATTGCTTATTCCTGCTAGCTAGTTCTTGAATTGCAAGACATGGTGACATGAGAGCACCAAATTTTCTTACTGAATTGTTTGTACAATACACAAAAAGTACTGTGGCACAAGGAAAAAAACAAAAGAAGCTGAAAGACACATCTAAGTGAACTTTGGGCTCATTCCCATTATTTAAACCGATTTGCAGATTGGTTTATATGTGCCGTGTTCACACTTGATTCAATCTCAGATCTGAACATATTCGATCTGAATCGAGTTATATAAAAAGGTAAATTTACTTACAAAATCATGTGCATATTCATACACAGGTAAAACTTCATGTTGCAAAGAAAATGAGGTAGAAAAAATAGTTTACTAGAAAGACTCAGCATGTGTGAGTTGCAGAATCCCCAGCACCCCCTGGCATACTTGGGTCCCATGGCCTCATGCAGGAGATGCCAGAGTTTTTCTTAAAAACCACACTATTCTCCCCAAGGAACCCCCTGGCTTCCCCAACCTCTGGCCCACAGGCAGAAAGGGCACCTAAACACCAGCAGAAGTGGAAATAACTGCACTAGGATTTAAAGGTGCAGAACGGCATTATTTCTATAGTGATGCACCTTTTGGATTTAAAGGGACCACTTTGACAGCATGGGGAATTTAAAATCCTAAGGAAACCCACGAACCATCATGAGCAACTCACACATGCTGAGTGGGAAGGGGTGGTTTGGCAAGACCTTTGGGGCAGGTATGTTTCACCCCTCTATCAGCCCTCTGCCCATTGCTCCTCCCTCTTGGGTGCCAGCTCCGATATCCATTCAAATGTGAACTACTTCGCGAACACAGACAGATTCGATTGTGGTAAACATAGTGTGAACTTTGCTTCAATGTGAATAGATTCAGCGATCCTGGATCTATGTGACTTGGAAACCCATTTAAATGCAAGTGAAAATGAACCGTTTAAGTATTTTTTGCTAACTAAGGGCCTCTACAGACGGGTGGCTGTGGGCTGCCCCAAGAAGCCCCATGCCTCGGCCCCGATCCACCCTTATGGTGCCTTTCAGAGGAGCCAAAAGGGGCACCGGAAGAGGCGCCAGGCACCTCTTCTGCCCTCCCTCTGGCTCAGCGTGTCCGGATGCTGAGCCGGAAGGACGTCATCAGAGTGCCTGCCGTGTGCAACGGCTGGCGCTCCAATTATGTCCTCAGGAAGGTTGGGGTGCCCGGCGTCCAGCTGCCCCTCCCCTTCCTGGGATTGAAGATGGTGCTTTTCACTGTCTGCATCCCCCCTAAGCTTTACAGTGGAATTACTAATACAGTAAAAGGCCAGCAAAATCTGTATGATCTGAAGTGGAGCTAGTGATCATACTGTAAGCTAAGGCGAAAAGTTACTGAATAAATAGGCTATGGGAAGTAGTAAAGGAGAAGAAGGTAGCTGAATTCCTTCCCCTGGACCTGAGAACAGTGGTCCTTGGACAAAAAAATCTACAAAGGAAGATTGGAAAGAGAAACAGCAGATTAGGAATATAAACACAAAATGCAGTCCATCAGCAGTGGATTGAACAGAAACAATGATTTCCTGGCACACTACACAGATTATGCACCAGCACTCTTAGAGTGTATCTACACTACATAAATAATGCAGTTTAACACAACTTTAAGTGCTGTAGCTCCTACTATGGAACCCTGAGAGCTGTAGTTTTACAAAGTCTTTAACCTTCTCTATCACACCATTCTGGTGCTTCACAAAAAAATAAATCCCAGGATTCTGTAAGATGAAGACACTGGTGTTAAAGTGGTGCAGAATGGCATTATTTCTATAGTGATGCACCTTTTGGGAGAGAAGGCTAAAGACCTTGTAAAACTACAAACCCCAGGATTCCATAGGACGGAGCAGTAGCATTTAAAGTGATGTCAAACTGCATTATTTCTACAGTCTGACACACCCTAAGTGTTTTAAATTGTCATGTAGTTTCTTATATTTTTAGATTGTAAAGTATCTTTTACCACTTTAATATTTATAATAATCAGAATGATTATAGGTATTTAGAGGTCTTTATATTCAAAGAATTTAAGCCTTTGGATATAAGGTGGGTATAAATAGACAGACAGGTACACAGATACAAAGATTACATGTGAACAATATTATGGTTGTCCTCTTTCTAGGGTGCACATGTAGATGAAATAAAGGAAAATTACTGTGGAAAATCTCACTGAAGACAAACTGCTTCATCCACAACACTAAGAATGCTACATTTTGTTGCTGAAAAAATGTACTGTGCTTACTTTGGTACTGTGTGGTTACACAAATTCCCTTTGCCATGGTGACAAGCAATACACACTTGTGCAGCCTCCATGTCTAAGCTGTATTGTGACAGCTTTATGTTTTATATCTTCTTCCCTTCTTTCTAACCATTTGTTTTTCCTTTCAGAGGCTCAGTACTGCTCTACTATACTATGAAATGGTAGGAGAAATTGCAGGGGCAATTACTAAATGCCTTAAAAGAGAGGGGGAAATGTCAGAGATGAGCAAGTGAGATTCTTCCCTGCTTGGTGAGCCTGTACCAGGAATAAAATATTCTAGGTTTTGTTGTTGTTGTTGTTGTTGTTGTTTGTAAAACAAACAAAGAAAGTAGTGAAAGGCTATTCCCTCCTGAAACCACCTAACCCAGTGCATAAGGAAGTGGTATCACACCACTGATGCAAGTATGTTTCTCTGTCATTTGCTAAAGTCTCAGTGGATTAGGCTCTACAGAGTAGGTAGGAATCAAATAGAGCTGATTTTTTTTAAAAAAACAAAACATCGTTTTCTCCTGATATTGTAATACCAAGGTGAATAAAATGCTATTTTATCAGAAAAGGAACAAAAAGTTTGAACCCTCTAAATCCTTAATTTAGCACTCTTTGGTCTGAACTGTAATAGCTACCCATACATGGGCATTACATGCACTTGTATCTACTAATTCATACCTGAGATACAGTATTTTAGTTGGGGAACACCTAAGATTATAAGAATAGATACAGAACAGTGAATACCAGAAATTAAGAAAAGCACCAGAAGACAAACTAACATTTATCTTATAATGTTCAAGGATGTCAGCATGCACCATTCCAGAAAGATGGCTCCTTAGTTTGTAAATATGTTTAGTCCCAACTTCAATTTGCACTCCCATGGGAGGGACCTGTATTTAAATGATAGGGAATTCAAAAGCAAATAATGAAGAAGGCATATGGATTTGGGAAATACACACTCACAGAGACCCCTTCCATTTCACTCCTCCATGCTTACACACACTCACATGCATACAGCCAAACAAGAGTCAAAACCAGGGTGGTGGGAGAGATGTAATGACTGTAAGGTGAACCTATCATGGGGTTTTCTTGGCAAAATTTCTTTGGAGGGGGTTTGGCAGTGCCTTCCCCAGAGAATGTGACTTGCCCATGGTCACCCAATGGGTTTCCATGGCTGAGTGGGGATATGAACCCTGGTCTCCAGAGTCGTAGTCCAACATTCAAACCATTACACCACACTGGCTCCTAGAACAGACAGGCTTGCACTCTATTGATACATTCTGCAACCATTGGCACATGGGTGGCAGGACAGACCAACTACATCTGCCTGGGTTACTTCTACCTTCATCAAAATGGGATGATATAGTGCTGGGTTACTGATTGCCCTCCTCCTTAACTTGCCTTTGTGCTGTAAGTGGCATCTATCAGTTTCTCTGTCTTCCGAGGGAAATGAAAAGTGTGGAGCTAGCAACCACTGTGATCATAACCCACTGAAAATTGCCTAGCAAACTACCAGTACATTGATTGATGTTCTTCCCACCTCCATAATAAATAATACAGTATATATATTCTTGGCTTTAGTACACTGGTGTTCCACCTTGTAATAACAGGTCACAGATTATGATGCATTATGTCACAATACTTTACCCAAAGCGTTTTGCATTCTGGCAGGGTTCCTATACCTTTGACATGACTGAAAAAAACTTCATTAGGATCAGGTTTCCTTGACTCTGATGCAGTGGAGTGAAAACTGCTCCTACCACACAACTACTAAAGACATGGAAGCCCTGCCAAAGGAAAGCCCTGGCAGAGCATACCTTTAAAGAATGCCTTATTAGAGAGCCAGACTGTAACCACCATATTATCTGTGCTTTAAAGTCCAATTTAATTGAGTTACACAAAGCTATGGCACACTGCCTTTCCGACAAGCAGGGTAAACTCATTCTGTCCATCATGATATTTGTATCCCCCACCCTGCTTAAACCTTCAGTCTTGTTCAAACTAGGATTCTAGGCACGCAACATGTTTTGTTTCTAATAGACTCCATTATAGAGCTAAACTGCTTTATGGAAACCCAAGCAAGGTGTGTGTGTGTGTGTGTGTGTGTGTGTGCACGCGCGCATGCGCGCACGTCAAAAAAAGACAGACAGAGGGAGAGGGAAACATTCTGGATGATATTTATCTTTCTAAGACCACAGGCCTCTGGTGAACAAATTGCAACAGAAAATGTAGTTGTCTGTGTAATTCTAAATAAGAATGTCAGGAGCAACTGTCTTTTCATGGTCATTGCTCTCCAGTTGTCATTTTGAAAAGTTTAATACTAACAGGCAAACCCTATGAGCTTTATGCAACTGTCACTATGTACCAAGAAGCAATAAGTTTTTTTTTGAGCACAGCTGAAAGTTTTCAGATGGTAAATGTTAAAAACCAATCCCATTATGCTTCAGAATAAAATGCTGATGTGGAAGAAAGTTACCTATCATCCAGTGAGTGATGTATTTCTCTTCCAACTTCAAAGCATAACATTTTTGATAATTTCAGAATGCCTTTACCCAGTGTCATGTTTGCACACTACAGAGATCTGCCATGTTTAAGTAAAGCACCAGATGAAAAAAGAAACAACAACAATCTATCTGATAATAGGCAAACCAAATATATCTATCTATTAGTACTTTTAAGATCTTCAAATCAAGAAAATAAGGTTGTATTTTCTATACAATTTATAACTGAGTCATAGTGGAATGAAGTGGAAATTCTAATTATGGGGGGTTGCAGACTGCCAGAAATAGTGCAGATTGAGTCCACTTTTAGGGTTAGGGTTAGTGCTAGGGAATCATGGGAATTGTTTTTTTTTTTTCTGGGACATTGAGCCTTCTCTGTCAGAGAGCTCTGGTGCCACAATAAACTACAGTCCCCATGATTCCCTAACCCTAACCCTATCCCTAAAAGTGGACTAATTTGCACTATTTCTGGCAGTCTGCAACCCCCCCCCCAAAAAAAAATTTCTCTCACTTATCCCTTTTAGTATACCAGTACAACTTCCTGTCTGCTGCAGGATTTGGTTGTTGTTCTTTGGTCTTTTTGCAAGCATTAGGTTACATTTCTCAAAAAAATACTTTAAGGAACATTATGGGATACTATACTGTGTTGTATTAGTCATGTCTGCAGATCAGACTAAGAATAGTAAGGACCAGGTTCAAATCATCATCAAGCAACAAAGATCACAAGGATATCACAAATATGTCATTATCTTTCTGTCTAACCTCCTTTGCAGGAATGTTTGAAAGATGAAATGGGAAAAGTAATCCTTAGAAGAAAATGCCTTGGAAGAAAAGCAAGGACCTAAATGAAATCTGTAAGTTAATGTGATCCGTGGCAACTCATTTCTTTACAGGTATTTCTTTCTAGAGGCAAAGATGATACTATACAACCAGAAGCTTACAACACCAGATAGTAACTGGTAACCAGATAGTAATGGATGCTATATCTAATTAACTGTAAAGATCACTAATCCTTTCTATAGTGAGTTCAGAACTTGTATATCTACCACCAACAGCTTGAATGGCATAGGACAGATGACAGTTCATTTTTAAATAATAAAAAGCTATTATAGTGGTATTTTTTTTACATAAAAAGAAATTCTGCATCTTGCTATAGACTTCTATGGTTATTGTTCACCCTTATCTCCTTGAACCTTCCTCCCAGTTTCAAACCAAGATATAGTTCTTGTATTGTGATATATCATTTTAGAGTTTACTACAAAACAGGTGAAAAAAAAAGACGACTATGGAGCTTTTCAGAGTGTCAGCCTATCTTTAACACTTGGCGTTTCCAATGCACTGCTACAAATGCTGCAGCCATATATAACTTGCCTTGAGGAAAGAAGATGTTCAAAAGTTTTCTTTACTCTTCCCTGCAGTCCATGTGACATTTTCAATCTGGACATCAATAAATAGTAATGATGCGTGCAGAAAAAGAAAGTAAACCAGACATATCCCTCAAGCAACAGAGAGGTAATAGCATTTGGAGGGGGCTGGGGAGAAGCGAGAAAACTCACACTAGGGAATGTTCTGCTCTGGCCGTCTTTAGTAGATGTTCCATTCAGCTGCTCAATAAAACTGTAATGTGCTAATTGTTCAGGTCCATCCTCTCCAAAATGGCCACAAAGGCTGTGCTGGTATATATCCAAGATTGACATGGGCCTCCCCATAAAAGACTTTGTCATACTATTTTCTTCTTGCTCAGCTAAGGACAGATTTTTTTTTTTTAAAAAAAACCAACTATACAGAGACGTATTTGAAAATCAATATACAGCTTAGCATGCTGTGTTTATTCAGCATAAAAATGATTCAAGGCAATCAAAAACATGGAAGATGAAGGCTTAGCATCCATGCAACAGGGACCCCCCCCCAACCCTCTAATGTTAGGAAAGTTACCATGTAATTTAAGCTCACAAAACAAGGCGATTGGTTCCAAGTCATGCAATGATTCATGCTTTTTTTAAAAGGAAAAAAAATACATGAGATAAGCATTCCCAGTTTCAAATGTATGTAATTTCCTTGCCTGAAAGGAAATTGCTAATTTTATTTTAATACATAATTTGAATATTAGTTTAGTTTAAATGTATATCTTAACCACACTGGCCAATCTGCCCTATATATCCAGAGCACATGTCTAGTTTCTGGTTTTATACATTTTTTCATGTCAGCTAATTATATTTTTAGTTTGTCCCCTTGCTAATCTTAAATCCTTAAGTGAGAGGTAGGAGCACTGATTGATGAGGTTATACATCTTTACAGCCACCATGGACTTCAAAATCTCCATTAAAAGCTGTGACTTTCTTAGACATTGGTTCGCCATAAAATTCCTCATTAATTATAAAAAAAATTAATGATATATTCGACCTGACATTTAATAATGATGAATGGAAATAAGTTTTATTTATGTAAAGGGTGGTTATCTAGAGAAAAGGTTCAGTTTTATTCCCCTGGGACCCTTGGTGGTGGTGGTGGGCAACAAAACCCAAAAGTCCACTTCTGGTGTTGAACAACAGACTTTTAAAATGTTTCAACAATGCAGGGGGCCAGGCTGCAACATATTTAACAGATCAAAAAGGAAGACAATAGTTTAGATTTGGGTGGGATCAAGGTTGGCCCTCTAAATGTGTCTAGGCAATAATTCCCCTCATTCCCAAGCACAAGTCATGCTTGTTGCAGCTGATGGGAATTTAAGTCTCATATCCATATGCTCCTGGCACAGATGAAGAGTTCATATCATATCTGCCTTGACACAAAGATTAGGCTGAACATGATAGTCTCAGATGGATAAAATACATGAAATTTTCCACACATCTCTCACAGTTTTGAAACCCAACACAGGGTGGTGCTCATGGCTGGACAACCCCCTCGCCATCTTAAGAAGGCTGCCGTTGCCACACCAGTGCTCCCTCACCCCATTAGCAGCTCCTCAATTTAATTTTCTCCATCTAAGAAAGAATAAAAAAGTGGAGTAATGGTTTGAGGGCTATTTTGCTTCCCCTTTTCTCTGGCTTTTTCCTTGCTTTCAACTACAGAGAGTGGCAGCTAAACTACAAAGAGAAAGGAAAGAAAATAGCCCAGTGGCCTAATTTTTCACCTTCCGCTCTGGCTGATGGAATAAAAGCGAGGTATGAACATAAGTGACCAGTGGCAGCAGCAGCATGTGTCCTTCCAATGAGTACATAGCAAAGCACTATCGTCTCTGACTGGAAGCTTGTAGTGCAGAAAGCGAAAGGGGGAGGCAAAAGTGAAAACAATGGCTATTGGCACATGTATCAATTGTAATATTAATTTTAGGACTTCTATAGGTTAATCTGGAACAAGGAAGAGAACAAATCCACAGAGCAAAACAGGAGATGTTTTAAGAAATAACTAATTAACTTGCATCGGAGCTGGACAGTTGCCCTTCTGATTACCCTGAAAGTGCCTGAACATTTTTCTGGGTTCAGCTGGAACATTTGAGAAGACCCGCAGATCTCCTCCTGCCACCTTTTTCTGTGTTCCCTTGGCAACCTTCTTCCCCTTCATTTCCCCTCCAATTCCCTCTTGTTCATAGTAAAGCTTTTTTTGGTTTTATTTTTCTGCTAAGAAGGAGAGGGAATAGGTGATCCAAGGGTTCATGAGCAATTAAGACATGGTCAACTCACAGGGTTGATTGTCAATGTAGCAATTTCTCAACTGACTCTTATTTATATTCACTGTAAAA